TTGCATAGCGACCAGGATGCTAGGACTCGGCTAAATTCGGCTCACTTCGGCTTCGCTCGGCGCATCACGGCTGGCGGGGGGGAGGGGCGTCATCCATAGCTCAACATGTCACGATATATTTTGTTTTGCCCTTTTTCTGCCCATGTTGAAAAAGGAACACTTGTAGCATTCTCCTTTCTATAATGCAGTAGTATTGATATAGATTCAAATGACATTAGTCCAAATTTATCTCACTAAAATGTTACTTAAAATGTTTAAACTGTCATTAAAATATAAATATATATAAATTCTCTGTTTATGTCCTACATGTTTCAGCTACACAGAGCCATTTTGTACATAACTGCAGTTTCATTCACTGGTTCTTGCAGAGATATGTATTTAGTGTGCTTTGTCATTTCAGTTGCTGCTTGCTCAGCCAGTTGTATCCCCTGTTGCAACTTCATCTCCAGTACAGCCTTCTGCTCAACCTGTGGTGGACCATAAAGCAGAGGAGAGTCAGGTATTTCTACTTTTTTTGCATGGTACCATTGACTAATATTTAGTAAGTGGGGTCCACGCAGCTAACAGATGTTTTGAAAATGTGGCATAGTTTAGATATTTTGGAATGACTATAGTAAATCAAAACCTGATTCAGGAGGAAATTAAGAGGAGATTCAATTCAGGTAATGCTTGCTACCGTTCAGTCTAGAACCTTTTGTCTTCTCATTTGCTGTCTAAAAATATATGAATTAGAATATACAAATTTATAATTTTGCCTGTGGTACTGTATTGGTGTGAAACTTGGTTTCTGACATTAAGGGAGGAACATAGACTGATGGTGTTTGAGAACAGGGTGTTGAGGAGAATATTTGGACCGAAGAGAGATGAAGCGACAGGAACTTTGAGAAAACTGCACAATGAGGATCTTCATAACTTGTACTCTTCTCCAAGTATAATTAGAATGATCAAGTGAAGGGGGATGAGATGGGTGGGGTAGGTAGCATAAATGGGAGCGAAGAGGAATGCATGTAGGATATTGGTGGGGAAGCCGGAAGGAAAGAGACCACTAGGAGGACCAAGGCATGGGTGGGTGAACAATATTAAAATGGATCTTAGAGAGATAGGCTGGGATGGTATGGATTGAATTGTTCTGGCTCAGAATAGGGACCAGCAGAGGGCTGTTGTGAACACTATAATAAACCTATGGATTCCATAAAATGCTGGGAAGTTCTTGAGTAGCTGCACAACTGGCGGCTTCTCAAGAAGCGTTTAGCTCCATGAGTGAGTGAGGGGTCCATGCAGCTTTCTATCCACTGGGTATTGGCAACTTTTCCTCGGGTAAAACAACCAGGGGTTGAAGATGACGACTTGTATCTATTTAGTGGTGAGGTTAATAATGTGTGGAGCTCTACCTCCACTCCCCAATCTGTGTTCATGGTATGGGGCTTAATTAAGCACAAGGAAAACTTTACCTTTACTCTGTCTAACAGTAACTAGGGTTGCCAACTCACAGGCCTTTTAAGTGTGGAGAAATTTGTTGTGAGGCTTCATTCAGAATTTCAGGAGAAGTATTTGGAAGACAGTTTGTTGTATGTTAAGTTAGTAGACCAGATCTGTGTTCTGCAGGAA